AAACTGGCATTGAAGAAGGTGGTTTCGCTATGCAGATGATTACATAGGAAATCCTGGAATCAGTTTGATGGTGATTACACAAACCACAGAACACAGTTCAAAGGAGATGAAAGGGGGCAGCAATGACCCTTCCCAGCCAAAACCAAACTTATGCAACTTTTCCTAACTTGTGAATTCAAGCTTATTAATAACATTTGCCATCTCAACCACAATCTGCTGTTGTTTCTCCACATATCTCAGTTTTCCTTTGTGAAATATTGGAAGGTTTAGTGTCAATTGCATTTTAATGGGGACTGCATTTTTATTTGGTTATTTTCTTGTAGCACTCTAGCTATTGATGTAGTAGTAGTTGAAGCAGAACACCCTCGTTGCTCAATGCAACATTAATTCTTTCACTCTGAAGAATAAGCATCAGAATTAACCTATTATTCCTAACCATTTATTGTTGGCTTGGAAAAGGAGATGAGGTTCAAAAACATCTGGAGGGGGCCATGGCATATCATTAATAAGAAAAAGTGTTGTCTCTAGATGTTTCAGCTCACATGCTCATTCACTTGCCTGTATACTGTGATCAAATGCGGGGGAGGAAATAGCCTTAGCTTGTGGGCACCTAGCTGAAATCACAAGAAACACAAGAGACAGAACTGGTTCCAGGCCTGGGTATTCTTAATGCCTGCTGAGACCCATCTCCCAATTGGCCTCATGGTACAAGGCTCCTGGACATACTCTTTCTCCCCATTCTAGCTGCCAGACATGTCCTCCACAGTCTGTCAACAAAATTTAAAAAGGACAAACTATTAAAAATTTAAAAAGGGCAGACAGATGTCCCTTTTATCCATAGATCTGATATCCATGGTTCCACATACTCAGATCTCCCCAAATACTCCTTACCAGAAGTGTTTATAGGCTTCTCCAGGTCCTCCAGTGAGACTCTACGGTATGTTTCCAATTGAAGTATAGTCAAAATAGAGGGCTTACTGCTATCCATGGTTTCAGGTTATTGATACGGGAGTTGTACTGTGTTTCCTGCATATCTCACCCCAGGGAGCTGTGTAGTTCAGGCATGAAGGAAAAACCTCATACAAATGGGGAGTAGAGACATTTGATTGTTTGCTCATTTATTTTGGTCATTTTCACACAACCTGTTAACATGAAGGTTCAAATTCAAAGTGCTGTTTATAACCAATAAAACATCAAATGGTTTTGATCCAGGGTATTTGGACTGAGTTGTCTCATGGGATTAACGAGGTTTAGAGATCTTGAGACGAGGCCTTTTTCTCTGTCCCACTATTCCACACAGGTACATTGGGTGGAACATAGATGGGTCTCTTCCATGGTATCCTTTTTGGTGGCAAATGAAGACTTTCCATTTTGATCAGGTTTTTTTTAAAGAAAAGGCTTTTAATACTATGTCCTATTATCTGTATTTATTTTACTTTATAGATGTTTTTTCATTCCGTTTAGAGTTTATTTATATTTTAACAGTTGTGTGAATTCTAGTTATGAGAACTTTTACCTGCGTGTTTGAAATTTTGAGATCTGCTTTAAATCCAAGGATTGGGAAAAGGTGGAACAATAACATGACAAAAATTGAAATAGTTTCTTTCATTTTGTGAAGTTTAGCTTTACCATGAAACCCAATATTTTCTCCCATTATCTGATACCTATAGAGTTTCTCAATTGAGAAATACATTGCCCGACTTACCGAGCAAGGTTTGTTGTGGGGGGGGGGGTCGCCCTCCCGCCGGCCATGCTGGAGGCAGGGGGCTTCTTCCCAGAAGCCCCCTGCACGACAGGAAGTTTCCTGCTGCCTGACCAACTGGCCTATCAGCAGCCAGCCCTGCCCCGGCCCTCAGATTGGCCAGGGGCCGGCCACTTCCTTCTACCAGCAGCCATACATAGACTGCCTTGTGTCTTCGCAGGCACCAGGCCTGCTTTAGATTGTCAATTCCACCCGCCCTGCATGACTGTTATGTTTTTGTATATTGTTACCTTTGTTTTGTCTTTGTCAGTTCATCACAACTTGGGTTGGCATGTGGAATGGACCCTGGATCCTGTTTTCCTCCCCTCCCCTATTAGTCGGGGGGGGGGGGGGGGGGGGGGGGGGAGGGCGGACATTCTTGTGGTTCCCAGGGGTGCCGAGTTCCATTGTCCAGTATTGTGCCGGTGGCCCTGTTGGGTTTTGCGGTATCGGTCAGCAGCAGGCTGATTGATCTTGATCCAGAACCCATGCCCGACAGCCAACCCTTTGTTCCTGTAATCAATAAATAAGTCATGGCCATTTTCATCCCAACTCTGTGTTTGAGTTATCTTTGGTTATGGCGGCAAGAGGGGTGTCGCCCATCCACACGCAAACAGGTTTTGGGACATGGCTATATCATGTTGTAGATAACTATACTATAATGGTAGTTCCAGAACGATGCTCTTTTAAAAAATATTGAAAAGAGAATCTTTCCTGTGCCAATAAAATTGAATCTGTTCACCAACCAAGTGCGGATTCTGGAATACCAATGCTAATGAAAAGCAAGCAAAACAAAACAACTTTACAACTTTTCTAGTTTGTTTTAAAATGTAAGTAACCTATACCATTATTTACTTGTTAATAATGATTTTAATATGTATGTATGTATGCATGTATATGTATAGTCTATTTATGTCCCGAAATTGAATGTTTGCCGTTTATATGTTGTGCTCTGCCCTGAGTCTCCTTCGGGGTGAGAAGGGCAGAATATAAATTCTTTAAATAAATATATAATAAATAAATATTTTTTGCCTAAAAATTAATCATGTTTTACATCATATATTTTAGCAAATACAAATGTTCCTACATGGGTAAAATCTTATGTAAGACAACTGTCTTATATGACATGCCTTGCAAGGTTATTTAAGGGAGGTTTCCATTACCAATCACATCAGACTGAGTCTTGGAAGATAAACATCCACATATTATTTAAGGTGTCTTCTTTGCATTATTGCAAATATATGAATCTGCAGAACAGAAGTGGAATTCTCATTGAGATGCCTGAAAGAAAAGAAGAAAAATGCCCAGCGCATTTAAAAAAATATATACCTCTGAAATGAAACTATTTCCTGAAAACAAGATCTTCCTCATAGCCATGAGCATATCTGTTCATCTTGCAATGCTGCATTATTTTAAAAATCCTTCTCTAATCTTTAACATGTGTCAAGTGAGAAAACGCATTAAGATTTTAAAAGTTTCCGAATACTTGCAGAACCTGATGATGGGAATTTGACAGAGAAAGCAAGAGTGGGTGGGTAGAGATGCTCAAGAAAGTGGGTTACAGCAAGAAATCATCCACATTCTTGTAGTTATGGAAATAACATGTTTTGTTCCATCAATGTGTCCACTTTACATTATTCAGCACAAAGCTTTGTAAAATAAGAATCCTGGGAATATCACAATATAAAGAGGAAAAAGGTACAAATAACAGCTTCATAAACTGAGAAATGTACATAAATAAATCATGCAGATGGGGGCAGTTTGCTTAGCTGGCAAGAAACAAAATATGGAAAATCTGCTTGTTAAACAATAACCACAGAGTGTGCTTTCATGATGTGTTTTTTCTCCTTCACCACAGTAATTCATATTAGAGGTAGAAGCAGTTGCATGTTAAATAAAATCATTCAGCATTGTTCTTCCCGCATTGCAAAGAGCTGACTTGTGTTGTTTTAAGAAGCCTCCCATTAGAAAGTAAATATCCCTACGATGTTACGCATTTCACAAAATTTAATAAAGATGAACTGTAAATAAAGTCACAGGCCGATTTCAGACAGTTTTATTAGCAGATTGTTGAAAAGGAGGAGGGGGAGAAAAGAAAATTAAATACAATACCAGTAAACGTGGTTCTCACATTGAAACCAGGCTCAAATAACTAGGCTACCATAGAAAATTTTTCCAATTCTTGCATTATGATGTAAAAACAGATTTTTGTACAGATTTTGTACAACAAAATTCATAATAACATTTTTTATCATTTTTAGAAAACTTTAAATATATAGATAAAAATAGACAATTTTCATAGGTCCTACATGAAGATGAAAATGTTCTGTTCCAAGGGCTTGCATAGAGCGCAAAGATGGTTATAATATAGAACAACTAGACATTAATATCTTTTAAGATTACAAAAAGCATTTTAAACAATAACATGAACACATTTCTTCATAATCTAGGCAAAAGAAAAAAAATGGTTTTAACTAAAGAGGGGCAAAGAAACCCAAAATTCATCATACGGTAGCATTTCATGAACATAATATTTACACTTGTTTTAATAAGATATACTTCTTTCCCCCATTAGTATCAGCATTTCCATTTACGCATGTACCAAACCAAACAATGATGCATACCCAAAGATTCTGGAACATGTACACTGTAGAAATGATTAAACCTACTTACAGGTGATTCTTTGCAAGGAGCAAGAGCAATGGAGATACTACTATAGATTTGATTTGAAGTTTTTATTTTATTTTTATTTTTATTTTAAAAAAGTTTCCCCTGATATAAATAATTTAGCAGTTTGTCACAAAGTCCATCTAATGACAGCTGTTAACCCACTAAGGATTGAACTTTAAAAAGGAATACGCATTTTCTGAATATTTAACAAAAAAATTAAAAAGATGACAGCTTCTGTTATGAAGCATTAGGTAATCATTTTGAGGGACACTATATCCTTAACTTTTTTTAAAAAAATTCACAGAATGATTTGTTTATGAAAGAATTCCAGATATAAAATCAATTTGGGCCAAATCTTTCAGGCGGGGGAGGGGGGGAGCTCAGAAATATTATTGTGAGCGAGCCTAACGAATTCTAATATTGAATTTAAAAATAGAATTTAAATTTGGAACACGTTATTGTCCTTGAACATCTGAATAACTTTAAATGAGGCATTTTTTGAGATTTCGTGATTGTGATTATGTTTCCATACGGCCATGCATATTGTATATGCATAAATGATGACACATGGAGAAAACATAATCACTTATCTTCAAAGTGGTCTTTAAAGGGATAACTTGGGGAAATATGCAGAGCAAAGAAGATAATTTAAAATGTAGTAAGCACTGTGTTGCAGCTTGCTTCCATTATAAGCACAAAGGTGGAGAACAGATATCATAGCATTTATAAAGACAATAAAAATAACACGTAACCAGCCTTGCCCAAGACAAGGTAGGTTGGAAGGACAAAAGACTTCAACTGTATCACTTAGCTCTACGTGGTATTGGATCGATAACATCAAGTGTCTGATTAGCCTCTGGGAGTGTTTTCTCCTTCCCAGCAACGTTGAAGTTATATGACATTAATATATAAAAATATTTCTGGCGGGATGACTTCCTCATGAGCCACATTTCACTCTTAAAAGTGCCATTTCACAGCACCGACCGATATACAAATAAAAGTGGCCCCAGTCATTCCCAGACGCCTCCGATCCCGTTTGTTAATACTGTGACTTCAGGACAAATATTTACATGCCTGCATGCGTTAAAATTAGAAAGGTGTCGTTCAGACCAACAGGGTGACAAAACGTATTATCTAAAATTGTTGTTTTCCTAAAATCTAGTATTCTACTGCATACATAATACCTTCTGGGTGTGGTTTGTGGTTATATACTGTACATCTGACCAACAGTTTCAGTAAGAAACAACATCTTGTTGTCATTCCCTGTTTCCCAAACTACTGCCAATTTACAATAAAAGTTATGACAGATCTTGAAGCTTTTTAAAATTGACTTTGAGAGAGAGGATATTGTGACCAAAAACATCACAGAAGCATATTTACACAGTGTAACTCCTGCCCCCGCTAGGTCCAAGACAAAAAGTTTGATTTCTGTAACATACTACTGTGTTGGTCTCTTAGAAATTAAGTGGAGAAAACATATATTTAAGAGAAACAAGATTCTCTCTTAGAATTTGAAGGGGGGGAAACCCTGTGTACATTTTGTATGTTCCTATTCTGTGTTTGTAGGACTCTCATGCCCCTCTTTGAAATATGCACCTCTCTACTGTCTTGCTGGTTTATATATGGCGTAATAATCTTTAGGTACAGAAGTGGACACTGTGGAAGTTTTGCTTGATGTGCTCAGTGAATCAGAAGACACAGTTTTTATCCCATTGCAAAGGCAATGCAAAGTCTTGCTCTGGCCTGTCTGTACAAGGAGGTGTCCAACAGCTAATTTTTTAGCGAGCTGTCCAGAAGAGGGCTACATAAGTTGTAGAACCTTTCTCTGTAACACAAGGAGACGTCCCAGGAAACCAATGGAGAATGCTCTTGAAGAAAAGCTCAGAACCCTTTGCACATGGATACATGAAGTGGCCAAGTTGCCCAAAAAGCACCTTTGTATTTGCAGAACTTTCAAAATGGTGAATGTCTTACTGCAGAGTTCTTGGAATCATAGCATACACAACTTCAGTGGAATAAGTTCAGTACATGACAGTAGTTTTCAAATAAAGTCTTCCATCTAAAATAGAAATAAGAAAAAATATTTTAGTCTATTAGTACTGCACATTGTTACTCTCTAAAACAAAGACGTGATAAAGGTGTATTTAAACTTGTAATATTTCATGCTTAACCATTTCAAGTCTAATGAAACTTCTTTCAAGCTTCTATAATTGGAATACCAATATATTTCATAAATGTTTACAGTTTTAGAGAAACCTGCACCCAGTACCCTCACACCACTGTTAAACACTAGAGATGTCTATAACAGCTTCTACAGATCTCTTTAAATAGTAAACAATTTCATTTCCTGTAGTCATTATGACAAGAGCAATGATAGCTATTTGTGAAACATGCTGACATTAAAAGGTATGGGTTATGAGTCACCTCTGGCATTAAAAAAGAGTACCAATTATTTAAAAGTACCACCTTAAACTGGATATAGTAGGAAATAAGCAACCAAACAGAATCAACATTACTTGTGGCATGTCTACACTGACTACTTATCACAAAGGGGCCCTAGATCAGTTCTAAGGCAGTCAAATGCAACATGGAGTTGATCCAGGGCAACCCAGGGCAAAGCCTTGACTCCAGTTAACCAAAGTTACAGAATACTCTAAATTCTGACCCAGAATTTTGAGCAACCTGCAATTTTATTCCCGTATAAACAGTTGGACCAATTCCAAATTGGAACAGTGTCATGTTGTATCTGTTCTGAGATAATGGATCAATATAGATCTGCCCATAGTGTAGATAAAGCTGTCAGAATATCAGCAGCCAAATTCCAAAATTGATGCAGTTACAAAACTTCAAAGGCAGCCCATGGGTAATACACTACAGTAATCCCGCCTGCAGATTATGAAAGCATGGATCATTGTGGTCTAGGAGATTGCTGGCAAACAAGTCATAATTCATAAAAGGATATTGGGCCACCAAGATCGCTTGGATCTCTAGTCACAACAGTGGATGTAGGGAGTATCTTCCAAACTACTGTATGTAACAGCTCATTTAGATGGAGAGTGACCTTCATTAGAATAAACAGATCACCAATTTCCCAGAACCAGAATCCATCTAAACATTTCGGGATTAATGGATAACTTATATGGAATGGGTTAAAAAGGGTGAAGCCAACACAATCATCTTACAGAAATTAAGAAAACTGTGCACATCATTAAATATAACAGTGTAGAGAAAATATGTGGTTGGAGGGATGGATGATGGGTGGGCAACACGGATAATTTTTTATTATGAAAAAAATAGTTGAATGTTAATTAAAAATATGTATGTAAGAAGACGTATGTAAATAGTAGGTCGAATGAAAGTGGAATGTATCACACAACACATGTACAACCACTAAAGGTAGAATCCATTGTTATTTTACAGAATTGTACAAAATAAACTTTTTTAAAAATAAACACAATTTTAGAAATGTTCTTCCTTTTCTTGTAAGAAATGCATTGAAGACTGCCATTTTCAATAATTAATAGTCTGTCTCAAAGCCTTCAGATACAATATTTTCTGTGCAGTAATTAATATCCTTCCATGCATATATATGTAATTTTCTGCAGAGAACATGCTGTTTCCTGCACAGGATATGTTTCCTTTACAAAATAACCACATGCGAAATTTCTGGAGAATAAGTCCTGAACTGCAAAGATTTTATCATACTATTTTTCCCCATCATAGTTTCTTGACACTCAAGGAAACCAATTTTCTACCATTTTAAATATATTTTCCCAATCCTAATCCAGCTCGATATTTTCCCTCAGTGATGCATGCAATGCCAATATCTCCCAATCCAGGTTTAAATCTTGAATAATAAATGCTTTCTTCAGCACAAAGTCTGTATTTCGTAGCAGAACTACAAAGCCAGGAGAGACATTGATGATGTCATTCAAAATCCTCTCCTTGATGTGAGGACCAGAAGAGGAAACTGCTCTTAAATGAGATTCCACTTTTCTCTTCATCAGTTTATTCAACCTCATGGTTGCACAACACTTTGCTAATCATTAATGAATAGATATTTTCTATCCTCCGAGACCTTAATGTCCACTAGAAACATAACAGCACTATTTATTAATTTACCCTTAAAATCAACTTAAGAACGTCCCACTCAACCCGTTAGAATACATAAAAACAATAAGATTTCAAAAACCGCTATTTGCAAAGCACATGGAACGATGTCAAGAGTGCTAAGAACCAATCAAATACCAATAGTGAGCCCTGGGTGGATAGAGTTGCCTTTGATAGCTGTGTCAGGAATAGAGATGAGAGGAAGATTTGTGCTCTGGAAATTTGGCTCCTTTCTCCAGCTTTACGGGCTTGGAGGATTTTCACTTACCCTACACTGAACTTGGTGGAATTATAGGATAATAATGAGAGTGTTGTGTTAAATAGTTTGGCCACTTGGCAAGTACTTTGTGAGGAACAAAGGGGTTGTTCCACAAGCACTGACTGGATAAAAGAAAGATTTGCTTCTCAAACTCAGACTTGGAAAAGTGTTTCAGAAGGCACAGCTCCCTTCTGAGTCTTGGAACTTGAGTAGAGAGGTCAACTGGAATGACTTTCCTTCACATTTGAGAACTAGCAGGACAGAAGCTGATCATTTTGGGTTGTGGGGCTCATCCATGATACGCTGAGGAAGGATCAGCATATGCCTGCATTGAGGCAAATGTGGCAAGTAGTTTAATAAAAGTGACTCCAACTTAAATTTTGGTTTGTGTCTTCTCTATTTCCTTAGTGAGTAAAAATGCTGCAATAAAACCAACGAACATAATAGCAAAAGATTCAAATCAAGCACTAAGGTAGTAAATTCTTAAGTGACGGCAATGCATGAGAACAAAATGCTGAACGGGTAAATTACAAACCAACACAGAACAGTGATAGAACACATAATATTGGAGCGAAAAAAATGCATCCTTCAGTTTTCCATATAATGAAATTATTTAATCCATTTGCAAATGTGGATAAAGTATCCAGAACAAAATATTTAACAGGCTGGCTTTTCTAAACTGTCCACTTGTATTCTTTACACTTTTACATTTCAACATTTTTTTTAAAAAAGAAGGTAAAAATATGTAACAGAGTGCCAATCATATTTTACTTGTTCGAACTTTAAGGAGGGTTTTTTTTTGTAACAAAAAAATTACCCTATTTTAAAAGAAAAGATAAAGCCTTTACAATATAGACAAAAACAAAAAGCACAAAAATATGTATCATTTGTCTTGTGTATTAGAACAGAAACTCTTAATGTATAGGGTCTTCTCTAGAGGAAGGCACCATTGTTTGGGTGGTAAGCCAAGGAAGCAGGAATTATTAGCACTTGGTTCAGCAATGAACTCATTTGGTCTTCTTCCTTATGGTAAGTTTTCAACATAGGATTATAAACCAGATAATAATAAAATAAGAACCTAAAGAGAGAGGACAACTACTTAAGTAAAAGCCATCATGCACATGAAACCCTTAAGTAAATACCATAAATTGTGAGGTGTATTTAGTAGGATATAACAGAAAGCTAACCCCATAACAAAAGTACTGGGAAGACTGCTTTGTTCGCTAACAGATTTTATTTTAGAAAAAGACATGCAGTAATGCTATGCCAGACAATGTGAAAGGATTCACAGATATAAGTGTAGGTCAGCCACGTATCTTGCTTTACAGAGGAGAATATCTGAAGGCCTGTCAGTCCTCTTTCAAACTGTCCTCTCTTAGAAAGGTTGGCCAATTAGGAAGGCACAAAACAGGAAGGCACAGAGACACCTGATAGTTACCCCTCAGCAGTTAATACTCTAGAGTGCAATCGCACCAGAGAAGTGGGTTGTTGTAGGTTTTTCGGGCTATATGGCTATATTCTAGAAGCATTCTCTCCTGAAGTTTCACCTGCATCTATGGCAGGCATCCTCACAACCTCTGAGGATGCCTGCCATAGATGCAGGTGAAATGCCAGTAGAAAATGCTTCTAGAACATGGCCATACAGCCTGAAAAACCTACAACAACCTGATGATTCTGGCTATAAAAGCCTTCGGCAATGCACCAGAGAACTGTTTGGACCGAAGTAGTGTATTTCCATTGAAAAGTTAGCACAAAATTCTAAACCTCCATCTGTCCATAGAAACCAATTCTATGAAAACTCTTGTACTCTTTTGCCCTTCCACACTGCCCCCAGTACACAGGAAGGAGCTGAAGTTAGAATTCTACATCATGACAGTCTAACTTTGTGTTTAGATTTGAGGATTTTTTAAATGATAGCAAAACCCACTCACATAGTGAGAGTCTTCTTCTCTTAATATGATACATTAAGATATTTTGAGTTAAAATCTATTATCTGCTGAGTGATTATGGCAGGTAATACTGTACACATTTTAACCAAGAAGGGAGTGGCAAGCAATCAGAACCAAAAGACTGGTTTTACATATCAACCTTGTTTTGTTGTATTTTATTTCTATCAAGAGAATCTCCATTTTTATTGTCTGCTTCTCATTCCCCTCTCCCCCACTTTCATTTCCAATGGCATACCTTGCTAATATGGCAGGTTAGGTCCTAGACCTTTGAAGTAAATATCACCTTAAGCAATTCTCAGCTTTTCCCATTTGCCAGAGAATATAAAGACCTAAAATCACATCTGCACTATAACTTTTATGTGCACAACAGTACTACGCCTAGGAAAAGATACAGAAATAAAATTAATATTTTTAAATGCCAGTACTCTGATCCAATTACAAACTCTATGTGTATGTAAAATGTTTTCTTTAGGAGGATGGATTAGTTAAATACTTGTAATTTTAATTCGGTGATTTAAATCAGGAAGAAAAAAGGGCCATTTAGATAATTTTCCATGAGCACTGCTTGCATTTCCTAAATAATGAGCAATGTTCCAATATACAGAATTTACATTAAATACAGAATTAATTGTGTTGAACTGGGATGAATCCAGAACTTGAATAGAAACACACACTTTGGCAATGCCAATTCTGCATTAATTGAGTGATGAATCATCAACACAAATTATCAATGAAGACTATAATCAATTGTTAAGGAGGACACTCCTACTGCAGGAAAACGAATAATGGATCCAGAGGTAAGTTAAGTCTTTGGTGCAGTTTAGCAACTCTACAGATCACTTTTAATATATTAGAATAATTCCCATGGTCCGAAGATGGAGAAATGATGCTTCTATTAAAAGCACTGAAATATTTTCTTCTCTGGCATATTTTCTTCATGATTCTGCATCTAATATTTAAAATTAATTTGCTTCATTCAACTAGTGGTAAGAAATCTGTGTGAAAGAAACTAGAGCAAATTTTAAATGCATATTTTTAAAGTGAGGAATACAGTGGAAAGACCAAAACATCTGGGGACCCACAGGTTGAGAACAATGGTTCTCAACCTGTAGGTCCCCAGATGTTTTGGCCTTCAACTCCCAGAAATTCTAACAGCTGGTAAACTGATTGTGATTTCTGGGAGTTGTAGGTCTTGTGAGTTGCTGTTGGATCCTGTCTCTGTTTAATAGAAGTGTGATTTTCTCCATGATGTTTTGCTAGTGCTGAACTCATTTGGGTAGCTAGAAACAAAGAAAGGAGAATACTTAGGGGGTCATGATGTGGACCCATAATTTATGGTGTTGTTTATCTCATTTTTACAACTGATTTTTAAAGCACTGTACACATGGAAAAAATTAAAAAGAAAAAAAGGTAGATGAAATGTGAAAAAATTACAATCCATAAAACAGCATCTGGAAACAATTAAATGCCTGGAAAATATTATAGAATCATAGAATCGTTGAGTTGGAAGCAACTAGGCCATCCAGTCCAACCCCGGCCAAGAAGCAGGTAAATCGCATTCAAAGCACCCCTGACAGATGGCCATCCAACCTCTGCTTATTGTGTTTAGAAAGCAGAATTCAGCCTGATGCCTAAAAACTAACAAACTGAATGCCAGGTAAAAGGGATATGCATCGTGACTTATTTTGCTCCTGAATGTAAGGAGAAATGATTTCATCAAATTTTTCCACATCTGTGATAATACAAAGACAAATGCCTACATTATTCACTACTTGTTCTTCAGGCACTGTTGAGAACATTCATGTGCACAAAAATACACATCATTTTCTCACACAGAAAGCAAAACCTTTGTGCAAAATACACTGTGCACAGAATATGGATTGTTGTTGTTGTTGTAGTTGTAAAATCTCATGCAGCAAAAGCACCCATATTTTTCTGCACTGAGAGAGAAAACGTTAAAGCCTCTTTTCCATCCGAGTGATCTCTGAAAACCAAAAAGGGGCTTCAAACGTAATTCCATCTCAGACAGAAGTGTTGGTTGTAGGCAGGTTTATGGTGCAGGAGGCTGACGGACAGGCTCTATATCCCAGGATCTGATTCCAGGCCTTCTGCTTTATACTGGATTTTATGATAGATAATGTGGGATAAACAGAAAACCTGAGATCAGATCCTGGGATATAGGGTCTGTCTAGAAGGGTCCTAGGGCACCTCTTACAAGGTTTCTGGATAAGGTTTCTAGGTACTTTCCATTTGGGAGGAGAAGGAAGAGGGAGCCACTATGATGGTTCTGATAAGGAAGGCGAGAGAGGAAAGGGGAAGCATTTTGTTCTAATTCATTGGCAAGGGCAAAGCTGCTTCTTGTACTGCATATGCTTGGAAAGGGAATTTAATTGTTCCTCAAACAGGTTGGATGTTGCCAATCCTCATCATAGATTCCAATGGATCACAAATATGGCCGGTGAGTCAGTCATAGGAAATTACGGCACAATGGCAATCAGTCTCTGGCTGACAGTCTCATGTAGAGTTAAGCATAGAAAGGACACTTGTTTCCAGGCACCTTTCTCGGGTCAGACTGGAAGAGGATACATAAAATTAAGTCAAACTTTTTTTGGAATAAAAATAAACCTGTTCACACTACTTAAAGAATGTACGCAACTGCATTTCCTGTTAGGATTAAACTTTATTGAACAATGGCGGCTATTTTGTTTCCTAAGCAGGCACCTGTAGCCTAATGAGGTTTTGTGGTTTTTTAAAAGAGCAGCTGTAGATGCGTGCCCAAGTGCACACAACCTCTTCATCCCAGTGTTGATAAAAGCATCTCTGATCCATCGCTCAAGCACATTTTAAATTACATAACTGCTGGGTTTATTTGCTTTAATAAGATGGGGTAAATGTGAATTGCAGTGTAATCCTAAACTTCCATTCAGTGCAATGTTTTAATAATTGAAGGAAAAGGAACAAGAACAATAAAACAGGAGACAAAGGCAAACAAATGGGAGATGATTCATGCGGTGTCTGATAAAACAAACATCAGGAAATCCAAATAAAAGTAAGCATCTTGCAACAGATGGAAAAGATCTTAAACAAACGGTAACCCTTATCCAAAACACTTACGAGGAAGTAGCTAATTAAGGGCAATCTCATTTTTTGCCTTGCCAGTTTAGATATTTAAAATGCAGAAACGGGAGATCTTATCATGCAACCAATATGACAGTGAGAATCTCAGCTCTTGATCACGGGGATCCATTTAAGATAAAGTTGATCCATATTAATATACTTTAATATGACATTTTTAAAAGAAGGCAACTTTGTAAAATGTGGGTACCCACAGCCCCAACACAGCAGAAATCATATATAATGAAAAGATATGACAAAGCTTTGTATCTTATCTGGCACTTGTAAGTATGCAGGGCATTCGAGGCTCACTCTCATTCTATTGAGGACTATGGAAATATTCTGGCTTTTTCAGCCATCCTGATTGTCATCTTTTTTGCTGAAAGTACTATGGACTGGAACCAAAAAGTGTTGTGGTTGTTACTACTACTACTCCTACTACTACTGAGCAATGGCCTACCTTAGGGGTGGGGAAAATGTGATTGGTTTTCTGTCCGTCCCCCCAAACAAAACAAGGATTTAAAGAAAAGTTTCTAGAACATAACAGCCTGAAAAACCTACAACAACCCAGTGATTCCGGGCATGAAAGCCTTCAACAATACAAGGATTCAAACATTACTTTGGAGGAAAAAACTGCCATGAAAAACCCCATAAAGTTTGTGAGGGAAAATTTTGCTTTTTTTTTTTAGTTTTATAAACAGCACAAAAGAACTTGCAGGAAAATGAAAAACAAAAGGACTAATTACTTACAATCATTGAACCTGCATTTCTAAAGCACTGCATTCCAGCCACTTCTATTAGAAGGAGAAAAAAGGGGGAAAATAGAAAATAAATAAATAAATGTCTGAGTCAAACACGGTAGACTGTGAAATCATTGCTAAGTATAATTAGCTTGTGATCTGCCATGTCAGTGGGTCCACCTTACTTTGCATAAAAAATTTATCATCATATATTTTTTCATACGAATAGGTATATTACTCATATTTTATCATATTTCCAGTCATATCCCTATTTTTCAGGAATTTTCAACAATGAATTATGCTATGACTAGGCACAAAGCAAATGAAATGCTAAATTCTGTGTTAGTGGAATGCTGTGAAATAAAAGTTCATAAGATGGGTAGATCAGGTATGTTTGTTATGTAAATGTATATTTATTCATCCCTTACTTTTCACCTACAGTGTTATATAATTGTTTCATACATATCCTTCTCTTCTTCAGATAGCTAAGCATGCCTTGAATGGGACATCTCGTGGTATCCTATCTAGATTCCAATACTTGTCACAATGGGCAGGATTCAGTGGTAGATCTTCCCCTTCCAAACCCCCCAATATGACTCAAAAACTGTTATTTCCAGTTATAATTTTCTATGGATATAGAACACCAAAAATAAATACCATGGACAATGAAAGCTCCCAAAAACAATGAAACAAAGTATTAAAGGAAACAATAAAACAATACACTTCATTGTTGTAAGCCCAATATCTGCTTTAGTAAAAGAGGCTAAGAGAAATAATTTTAGTCATTTTCACTGCCATATTAGGAACGACTATGAAAATGCAATGTAATCTAGTACAGCACCTTTCAGATTGAGCCCTGTAGCAATACGTACCAAAAATGCACTTTTAAAGTCACAAAACAACCACAACTGCCAAAGTAAGACAATACAGTTTTCTTGGCATGTTTTATTCAGAAGACGTTTGCTATTGCCTTCCTCATAGGTTGCCTTACCCAAGATATCCATGGCTGAATGGGGATTCAAAATATGGTCACTCTGAGTCCTAGTCCAACACTCAAACAACTGCACCATAGGACAGTTATAGGGCACAAAAGATCCAACCACATCAAATGTAATGTGGAGTTGTTCAGTTCAGCAATTCCACAGAGGCATCTACACAGCACTAGAGAAGTGTTGACTATTAGCCATAGCTGATACCATTAAAAACAGAAATCTTGACATATTGCCTGAGGATGAATTTATACTGACCTACTAAACCAGCACCAATCTGGCAATCTGGGTAGTTGAGCCCTCCGTTTTGAGTCAGACAGACACTTATCCAGCTGCTGATGGGGTGGGATGAAGCCAATGGTGCTGAATGGCCACCCTCACCTTTCCCTCCTGTCCTCCATGGTGCAGCAGTCTCCAGCAGTAACATGGATCCGGCTGTTGCCTGCCATAATAATGGCTGGGTTGACCGGGGGGGGGGGGGAGGGAGAGGAAGGAACTACTCCCCTCCTCTCTGCACCTCTCTTTCCTAATCACTCCATACCCCTAGCTAATGTCACTTCAAGTGATGGCCAACTGGTACAATCTGTGTTGTGAGCAGACACTGTTGTGACATCAAATACAAGATAGGATGGTAACTGTCATCCCATGCCTCTTGACCGCATGAGCCTGGGAAATACAGGCCAGCAAGGTATCTATTATTAATAGGAATGTACTAATAAGAATGCATTTTATTTGTATGTTGCCTTTCTCCCACAGTGAGACCTAAGGTGGCTCTCAGAGAAAGTCAATTTAAACAATCCATAATTGCATTTAAAAAACAATGTTAATCACCACATAAACAATACAAAATCTTAAATAAACAAAAAAATATATAAATAAAATGTCCCAATAAAAGCTCCCCCATTTACAGATTAAAACACTGGTTAAATGGAAATGTTTTTGTCCGCTGGCCATCCTAGCCTCCTGCAGAATATTCACATTTTTGTCATTCTCATGAGAGAGGACTCCTTCACACTTTGAATCAAGTGTCAGCTACTGTGATTTTTTTCTTCAATCAGAGTGAAATGCTGCATGGTTGTGTGTTTGTTGTGTACATATTGTATGCAAACCCAGTCCTTTTGCATACACACAAATATTTAGCACAAAACATAGTATTCTACACACATTTATCCTACAAATCGACCAAAATACATGAAGATGTAAAATGTAAATAAACCCTAGTAAATTCATCTAGTGAGGAGAAACATCTGCACTTAGAAAAACTAAGCAAATCGCTATTTCCAAAATACAAAATCCCGCATTACTTTTAAACATGAATCGCTTTTTCAATACAATACAATAAAGGCTTTCATAGTCGGAATCACTGGTTCTCTGTGCGCTTTTTGGGTTGTGTGGCCATGTTACAGTAACATTCTCTCCTGATGTTTCTCCTGCATCTGTGGCACGCATCCACAGACCTCGGAACAAACCTCTGAGCATCTGTGCCACAGATACAGGCGACATGTCAGGAGAGAATGCCATACAGCCCAACAAACTCACGGTAATCCAATACAATGAAACTTTTCAGCTTTAGGAACTTTGGGAAACATACAGAAATGTTTCTCAAATAAAAGGCTCTCCATGGCTCATGCCAAACTGTACTGAAACTGACAGGAATTTCAAAAGAATTATGCAGTACACTATCTAAAATCACTGTTCAAAAGGGTAGGAAAAGGCAAAAATATTAGTGTTCATGACCAATTTTTGCAGTCAATTTATATAGATACCATCTAAATTTAAATTAGAAATTTAAGAGAATCATTGTTTTGTTTTGTATTTTATTGTTTATATTGGTGAGTAATTTTCTTCCATTAACTCAGAAAAGATAGCGTGAAATGGAGAGATTACCTTTCTCATACTGTATATGCCTCAGTTGATACCAAAAATGATGAAATGTATGTGTAACAAGAGCTTGATGTAAATGTTGAAAAACAATAATGCAAAGCATCTCATCACACATAGCATATACAGCTAATAGCAACTCCATCCCCTATTGCATTTTACAATGGGACATAGTAATCTCAAGCACTCTTTTCATAATAAATGAAGGCTTGTGGCCATGGTTACTATCTGTAGTGGTTTTTATGTCTATCACTAAAGCTTGTAACTTGAATTGAATTAACTTATATCACTATTTGGCTTGATATCTATTACTTGCAACTGCAAATCTAAGGAAAAAATCAAGTTTGTAATGAAGTAAGGCACATGAACAACAAGTGCTCATGAAAATACAGATATTATCTCTCATATTGCCTTTATTTCCAGTGGTACGGTGAAGGCCATTCTCTCTTGCAGTTTGAAACATTGGGCTTTGAAAACACATATGTACTTTGGGTCCATCCCTACTTAGAAGAGACCAAGGGACCATCCTATTATTTCCCAACACGAATAGTGTTAAAATAGCCATATTAACATGGTGAAGGATGAGGAAATAAGTTATTGCTGATGCAGTGGAAACATATTTCTTATTCTTCATTAAGATCATAGAATCATAGAGTTGGAAGAGACCTCATGGGCCATCCAGTCCAACCTCCTGCCAAGAAGCAGGAATATTGCATTGAAAGCACCCCTGACAGATGGCCATCCAGCCTCTGTTTAAAAGCTTCCAAAGCAGGAGCCTCCACCACACTCCGGGGCAGAGAGTTCCACTGCTGAACGGCTCTCACAGTCAGGAAATTCTTCCTCATGTTCAGATGGAATCTCCTTTCTTGTAGTTTGAAGCCATTGTTCTGCGTCCTAGTCTCCAGGGAAGCAGAAAACAAGCTTGCTCCCTCCTCCCTGTGACTTCCTCTCACATATTTATACATGGCTATAATATCTCCTCTCAGCCTTCTCTTCTTCAGGCTAAACATGCCCAGCTCAAGCCACTCCTCATAGGGCTTGTTCTCTAGACCCTTGATCATTTTTGTCATCCTCCTCTGGTCTCAATATCTCTCTTCAATTGTGGTGCCCAGAACTGGACACAGTATTCCAGTGTGGTCTAATTAAGGCGGTATAGAGGGTTAGCATTACTTCCCTAGATCTAGACACTATCCTCCTATTGATGCAGGCCAAAATCCCATTGGCTTTTTTGCCACCACATCACATTGTTGCTTCATGTTTAACTTGTCCACGAGGACTTTTCACACATACTGCTCTCGAGCCAGGCGTCCCCCATTCTGTATTTTTGCATTTTGTTTTTTTCTGCCTAAGTGGAGTATCTTGCATTTGTCCCTGTTGAACTTCATTTTGTTAGTTTTGGCCCATCTCTCTAATCTGTCAAGATCGTTTTGAATTCTGCTCCTTGCAATGATGATTGTAAGCACAATGTTTAAAAACATTATTTTGTCCAGATTATCCACCTTATATATTTATGCCATGTGAAAAATTGTACGTGTTTTCCCATGAAATTCTTGTTTTTCTCATTCATTCAGAGAATCTGGTTGTTGGGTGAAAGGGTTTGCTCATAATGAAGCAGAAAGAAACTGATCCCTCTCCCAATATTTTGACATGGTAAAACTTAACAGTAGATCTGCTAAATCACTGCATAGAGAAAGGAGGGATTTGATTTTCAAATGGATTATATTATTATATGCCTAAAAGCCAAGCCAAGTCAGGTCTGGTTAATATTTCAGAGGGAGGCTGACAGGGAATACTAGGAGCTGTTGGTAAAATTTCTGAGGAAGGCACTGGTAAATCACCTTTGAGTATTTCTAACAAAACTCCATGAAATTAATGGGATTGTCTTAAATTAACAGGTGATTTGAAGGGACATACATTATTTACTTTATGATTGGCATGCATTATATTTGGAAATATATGGTGTGATGGCTCTAACACAACAATTTTGTGATGTTCTGTAGGAATCAAATTCATAGAGTTATATATATATTCTACTATTCTAAAAAAAAGATTGATTCTAGATATTGCAACTCTATTAGAAATACAAAATAATCTGCACAGAGGGCTATTATTCAGCTCTCACTCTCAACACTGGAACACCACAGAGCTGTGAGTTGAGTCTTCTACTTTTCACTTGTACACATA